AGATCAACTCGAGGGCAGTTAACAACAACAACAAAACAATTTATATACAGAACTGAGACAATGTTCTGAAATTCAAAGGCATAATAACTATATAAGTTAGTTTGAATCAGTATGCGAAAGGATCTTGCAACAACTTTGAGACTGAAAGAGAAAAGTTAGTTCTGAAATGTTCATGTTTTGTTTTGTTTTGTATCAATGATGGAACCACTTGGACATCAGATATTATCTTGTAAACTAGAGTTTGTGAACAATTGAAAGCACTTTTGCAGTTGCTTCGCCTTCTATCTGATATTTAGCAACACATGTTTTCTTTTTCTTTTTTGCATAATATTACCACGAGGAACAGCCCAGCTTCAAAATGTGTCAAGGTCCTTTCATCAATATCAGCTGCAGCATTTTGGATCCTCCTCTCCTTTTTTGTGGTAAAGCACTAGAACAAGAGTTGTGCTTCTGGGACCAAACTTATACCTGGATCAAATAGTTAGTATTTGGTTAAAACCTGTGGTCCTGTCCTTGCTCTTTTTACCTCTCACTCCCAGGGAAGATGGGGAAGGGACAGAGGTCTAGCACAGATGGAGAAGAAGCAGTTGATGGCTTCTCTGCTGTTGTCTGGCCTGCCATAACTTGTTGTTCTTCCAAACAAAGCCCCAGGTTTTCCTGACACTCAATCTCCCATGCAAGAATAAAGGCATTGGATTCTAAATAAGCCCCCTGAGAGGCTTTGATAGGACAGTTGCCGCCTGGGACAGCTGAGAGAGATCAGAAGGGAGGAGGGCCACCAAGTCTGCATTTACACAGCTGTTGCCTTCTCGCCTCATCAGTGGGTTAACTAGCATTTTCAGCCTGTTTTCCTTGTGGATTTTCAGAAGGGACTTAAATCCATGTTCACTTGGGATAACAAAGAAATTAAATAGCAAAACAGAAACAGGCTTGAGCCCCTCTGCCCTCTGCTGTTCCTCTCTCTCTTGTTTCCCGCCAGGAGGAGGCAATCCTCTGTCCCTCGTAGATGAGGGGAGGCATATTGGCTGGCATAATCCCTGTGTGGGTTTGCGTTCCAGAGATGCCACTCATGTGCCTGATGAGAAAGTCACAGATGATTAGTAGTGGGGTTGGTATTGAGGCAGGAAGGTGGAGGTTACGCAGAGGGCACTGCTAGACCAAGCATGGCGGATTTAGTTGGAAAATAAACCAATGTAAAATGTAACGGCAGACCTTTTTGGGTCCCACCAAGGTCCTGTTTACACAACAGGAAAGGAAGCAGAAAGCTCAGGTGGATTAATGAATAGGTTCACTGTAAGCAAAGACAATCATAATAACAAGATAGTGATGATGATGATGATGATATCGCTATGCATTTAAAAGTCAACGGAACTGCCCTTAGAAATGCAGTGCTGTAAGTGTGTGTGAAATTATGGGATTGGCAATTTAGCCCTTGTAGTGTAGTGGTTTGAGTGTTGGACTGCAACTCTGGAAACCAGGATTTGAATCCCTGCTTGGCCATGAAACCCACTGTGTAAGTCACACACTCTCAGCCTCAGGAGAAGGCAATGGCAAGCCTCCTCTGAAGAAATCTTGCCATGAAAATTCCATGATAGGGTTGCATTAGGGTTGTCATATGTCACACACAATAACAAGAATTTTAGCCCTCCATAATGGACTGTCTCAGACCTTGTCTGTATGGCCAAAAGACCCATTTCCGCCTTGTTCTGGTGTCATCCTGTTTGGATGATGCACATCCTAAACACTGGTTCTGGTATGGTCAGTCCAGATGATGTCTAGCATGTTCCTCACTAGAACCGGGGGCTGACAGTCTTAATACGAATTTTAAAAATTTACCAGTTACTCCAGATCCTCCATTTCTGCATTATAGCAGCTATCTGCAGTGGGTCCCACTGAACCACCTGGTGCATCTGCTGCAGCCGCAGGTCACTCATTCTGAGAGAAGAATGAGGGGTCCAGCTTTGTGATTGTCGCTGGGTGCCTCCTTCGGACCTCAGAAGCAAGAGACCTGCAATGGTGGTGGACGCACTGGGCGACCTTGCAGAGAACCACGGCGGCACAGAAACATAGGCTGAGGTATTGGGGACAGATTGGGGCACCTGTGGGGCCAGGATACTCTGGACTGCCCCCACACTATCCTTCCCAGTGCAGACAAGGCACCATAAGAACTTGGCATCCATTAATGCAGGGAGAGGCCCAACTTTTTCATTCCATAGCAGAAAGAAGGGAGCATGATACAGGATGGATTCTTAGCAGCCAGGTTGTTCAAGGACCATAGATCCTCTTCCCTGGTGGTGATGATATCATTACCCAGACCCAGCATTTTAAGAGGAAAAATTCGCCAGGGTGCAAAATACACAGCAGAAATACAGTTTGAGATCACTTTAACTGCCTTGGCTCAGTGCTAGGGAATCCTAGGAATTGTAGTTTTTGCGGCACCAGAGTTTTCTGACAGAGAAGGCTAAATGACTCACGTAACTCCAGTTCCCAGGATTCCCTAGCATTGAGACAAGGCAGTTAAAGAGGTCTCAAACTGGATTATTTCTGCAGCGTGTCTTGGACCCATGTCTGCCCTTAGGCTGAAGTATTTGGAAACCCACTTCTGTCCGCAGGGGTGATGGGGTAGACAAGGAGGCAAAACCCCTGGAGTTCAGACTTCTAGAAGGTCAAGGCCTCTGGGGCCCTCAAAACAAACACACAAAATATTTTTGGGCATCTCATCAGTCCTGAGAGTGGCTGTAACGTTTGTTGTTAAATTTAAGGAAGGGAGCCCAATCATGCATTCTGCACTAGGCTGAGTGCCAGCTCTCAGGAGCCATGTCTGTCCAAGCTGGATGGGAAAGCAGAGATTGTTCCCAACACGTCTGGAGAAATCTAGAAGTCTCTGGAGAGGCCTCCTATTTCACAGTGGGCGGTGGGGTAGGGTGTCTGAATACTGAATGAGAAATGAAATATATCTTTCTTATGCTCTTTTTTTGGACCATTAAGTGCCACTTCCTAAGCTAAGTCCCTTAGGAAGTAGTGCCAGACAGGCTGAAAGCATTGTATAAGGTTCCACTTTGCAGACATACTACCAAGCGGGAAATGAGATATTTTGTCTCTCATTTCTTTTTTTTAAACGGGCACCTGCTATTTTACATAATAAGATCAAGCGCTCCAACTCTGTCGCATATAAAGAGGGTGACAAGAAAAGGTGGCACAGATTGACGGCTGTTCCGTTGTATACGTTATTGCATATACTATGAGGTCTAAACCACATAAAATCCACAAAACTGGAAATGTAGGCTCTTACAAATGTGTCTCACCACCTGCAGACCATTTAATCTACGGTAAATCACCATAGTTCCAGTGTCTATAGTTAAAGCTCTTGGAAGTAATTTGTCCGAGGCCTGCAGTCTAAATTATGTGTTGTGTTGAGTTTGGCTTTAAAGATGAGAGTTGACAGCATTCTGTAGTACAAATGAACATAATTTATTCCATCTTTCAACAGCACGAGTCATTCTAAGGTTACAGTCATGGGCACATTTGCTTGTAAGTGAACTAAATTCAGTGATGCTTTCTTAGGGGGGTTGCAGACTGCCAGAAATAGTGCAAATTGAGTCCACTTTTAGGGTTAGGGTTAGTGCTAGGGAATCATGGGAACTGTTTTTTTCTTCCTGAGACATTGAGCCTTCTCTGTCAGAGAGCTCTAGTGCCACAATAAAATACAGTTTCCATGATTCCCTAACCCTAACCCTAACCCTAACCCTAAAAGTGGACTCAATTTGCACTATTTCTGGCAGTAAACTTGTACAAGATTGCATTGTAATGTATATAAACATTGATTTCTCAGAAAGTGGAACTGATCTTCTACTTTGCCTTCGGGTGTTTTCCTCCCTCCCTCATGTTTATTGGTGTCTTTTTTCCAGTTAGCATTCATCAGGTATTCAAATTGCTGTTCCTTTCAAAAAGAAGAATTACTGATATATGTGCAGTTTTACACTAAGTGGTTCTAGATACTGAAAATGCAGCCCATAATAGACTTGTATATATATATTTAATGATTTATTTATTTATTTGGAGCAAGCAGTCTTGGGTTGCTTCCCCTGAAATCTCATGATAGAGATTTCTGAAAGTTTGCATCTGTAACACTTGATGTAGAATTTTAACAGTAACTTATTAATTTCTGTAGAAAATTTATGTGGCTGCAGTAGATCAAGCTTGCAGATCTAATCAGTTATGAGCAGCATAGATGGTTGATATTTAGGAGGTGAGGAGAAAGCAGGCAATAGGTTTTGAGCAGTTCCCTTTTCAGAATCCAGATTTCTTTAAATCCCAGAGTTAAACACTGGAAAAGGAGCTGCCAATTGACAGGTGAATGCAGTTCCTAAACACTGTTACCTCAAGGAAGCCTGCAAAGCTACCTTTCCTTTGCTGTTCTAGTGATTTCTCCACAGCAACATCCAGCAGCCACCTTTCAGCAATAATCCCTGTAAGACGTTTTGTGAATCTGATGAAGTGGCCTGTAGTCCACAAAAGCTTATAACTGAAAGTGCCACTGGACTCTTGGTTAGCAAACCCAAGTTACTCAGTTCCTACCTACCTCCAAACTTGTGGATGAGAAGAGTTTGGAGACATGAGAGAGAATATTTTGGAGCCTTGTATTTTTTAGTCCTATTTCTGTTTCTAGTCTAATTACCAGATTATTTCTTTCACAGTAGCAGCTGATAGTTCCCATGTCAGTGGGGTGGAGAATCTGAGCCTGAGACTGGAGTGCCATAGCTGAAGAGCAACCTCTAAGAAGTCTCTGTCCCAGGTCCTCACCAAAGGATCCTATGAGGATTTTAGGACCTCAAAGACCACAGGAATTGTTGTCATGTACCTTCAAGTCAATTCCAACTTATGACGATCCCATCACAGGGTTTTCCTTGCAGAATTTGTTCAGAGGGAGTTTGCTATTGCCTTCTTCTAAGGCTAAGAGCAGGGGTAGGCAACCTAAGGCCTGGGGGCCGGATGCGGCCCCCTGAGGCCTTTGGACTGGCCCCAGGCTGGTCCCGCTGCCGTTGCCTGCCGCCGCCCACCATGATGATATTGGTTATTGTTATTACTTGTTCTTGGGGTTTTCATGGCAAAATCTCCACAGGGGTTTTGCCATGGCTTTTCTGGGGCTGAGAGGCATGCATATTTTTTTTAATTTTTAAAATTTTTTAAATTTTATTTATTTATTTATTTATTTATTGTGCTTCGGCCCCCCAATTGTCTGAGGGACAGCAACCCGGCCCCCGGCTCAAAAAGGTTGCCTACCCCTGGCTAAGAGAGTATGATTTGCCCAAGGCCACCCAGTAGGTTTCTATGGCTCGGTGAGGATTTGAACCCTGGTCTTCCAGAATCCTAGACTAGCAATCAAACCACTACACCACATAGTTTATATATCATAAGACTGAGGTAGGTATATAAGGGGAGATACGGGCTTTCATATTGTCTGGAACTATGCTGTATGTAGATCTTAATTATCTCTTTAGATTGTGCATGGAAACAAACCAGGCACCAGTGAAATTCTTTCAACAAGGGAGTTATTATTTTGTCTTGACATTTTGTAGTTGGGGCTGGTTGAGAACCAAGAGATTCTGTGAAATAAAGCAAGCTTAGCAGTGCATTCATTAGTCTGATCTTCTGAGCACTAGGGTTACTCAATGCTTGTTTTTTAGAATAGTGATTCTCAAACTTTGGTCCTCCAGATTTTTTTTGAATTTTAACTCCCAGAATTCCTGACTACTGGCCAAGCTGGTTGTGGCTCCTGGGAACTGAAGTCCAAAACACCTGGAGGATCAAAGTTTGGGAACCACTGAGAGAAGAATAACTAGAAGTTCATATCCCATATTTAGCCTGTGTTCATCTGTGTTAAAGAAGCAGATCCACCCCATTTTCAAACCTATCTATTTAAATGATACACGTGGCCAAAATGGGAGGAAATTGGAACCAAGTTGTACTCCAGGGCTAAACACTGGAACAAAATTACCTCTGGTAATTTTGCTCCGGTTTGAGCTAAAAACTGAACTATTGCATTGGTATGCGGACTGTGCAGCAGTACAGAGATGCGGGGAACAGTTGGCAGGAAGCACACAGGAGCAGGTGTCTTAGGCTGGGTGAGCTCAGGTACTATTGCTGGCCATAATGTTTTTCTTGCCCACCTGTTAATTGATGGCACAAGCACACATGTGGTCAGCTGCACCATTGACCCATTGCATGCCCTGTGAAGTGAAATGACAATGCAATAAGTTTAATAAAAACATTAAAAAACTGACCAGTCTAAGAGAGGGCCATGGCAGAAAGGGGTAGAAAGAGGGTATGTATGATGAAGGGCTTCATGATCATCCTGTTCCAATGTATCACTAGGTGCACTATAGTGATTGATCGTGTGATTGCACAGCCAGTTGTGTGACTGGTCCAATGCGCTGGTGGATGGGTAGGACAAGGGAGGCGATTGGTGGCTGCTGGCAGCATGCCCTTGCATTTGTGCA